AAGATGGAAAAAACTGTTTTTTTGACTATCACAGTATTTTCAAGTAGCCATTTTGAATTAAAATAAAATAAAAAGATTAAACATGTTGATTTCGATTGGAAAAAAAAATCGGTCCTCAAAGGGTTAAGATATCAAATCAGTCTTTCATGTGTCATTGATTCTATCGTGTGTGTGTGTGCTATTATTTCTTTTTTCCCAGCATGTTTGATTAACAACAGGATTCGATTATAAAGATTTGTGTAAGCCAAAATGCGACAAGAACTGCTGATATACATGTGTGTGTCAAGGGATGAAATTTTTCCATGAATTCCTCACAATTAATGAACAGATTTAATAATACTGGGTAAATTCATTACCATAATATGTGTAAAATTACATCAAAACATTTAAGATCATACAGCCTTCTGATCTTGAGCTATTGAGATGCAATTTTCACATATGTTGTAGATAATGACGTGACAAATACCTTTTACCTGAGTGTATGTCAAAAATCTAATCACCAGAAATTTGTTTCAGGAAATTCCATGTATCTGAGTGCACCAGCCAGAATTATCCCACGCAAAATAGTTTATCGGCCGGAATTATACCACCCTAAAGAACGTACTTGATGCAAATACTTGATTACTCGCTAAGTACTTGCAAATGATCGAAATACTTGCCTTTGCTAAGAAGTACTTTCTAAAAGTACTTCGCAAGTAAGGACAAGTATGTATAAGTAAGTTTACTTCTGGAAAAAGGCAAGTACCAGCTTCATAACGCAGACGAAGTATTTAGTCCAAGTGCTTGACTCCAAGTACGTTCTCTAGGACATATGGGAGACTTTGGGCTAGTCGGGAGGTCCATGTTTTCTTTTGAATACTGCTCGAAAACACATAGGGACTTTTAGGAGATTTTTACATCAGCGGATAGAGAAGTCTTAGTTCTATCTTTATATTCAATAGCACGCTTATTCGATTAAAAACGTCTTAGAAATACGCAAAATACTAAGAAACTTTGTCCAAGTGGCCGGAAATATCCTATACGACTCTATATGACACATGCACACAAAAACTATACTGATGTCTTTTTTTGAATAGCAAAAAAAGATACAGTGTTGTATTTTTCAATATGAAAAATATAACAGAAATTTATCTTTTATCTCACGAAAGAAAATTCTTTCGTTAAAATGAATACCACAGTATAAAAAAAATTAATTATTTTTGAAAAGAGAAGATGTTTTGCAATGTTCCCATATCAAAACACCTATAACCGTGCGTTTTTTTTTCAAAAAAATATTAGTCAATGAAAACTAACTATCCGCTGTCTTCGTCTTACACAACAAAAATGCTGAAAACTTTCTAGATAAAAACGTTCTTTTTACCAGTATTGTTCACAGTTTTGCGTGCAGTTTTTGATTTAACATAAATACGTTGTCTTTTGCGTGCGTTTAATCAAATACAGCCATGAATAAAAAATTTTCACCTTACTACAATAGGGTAGCTTTTTTAAGAGGACGATGAATATAGTAGAAGAATAGAGAAAAGAGAGGTGAGAAAAAAAACCTCGAAAATCAGATGATTGAAATGCAAAAGAAGCATGGGGATGATAGACAGAAAAAATCGTCCGTTACTATTTCAAGACAACGTATGGCGACAGATAACACGCGAAATTTTCGTTCAATTTATTTCATTTTTGCGATGTCGTCATCATCATTATCTTTCATTTCAAAATGAATGACCAGTATAGTAGTAAAAAAGACTAATTCATTAGAGTTTGCAGTTGTTATTGTTGTTATTCAGAGATGGGCAGCTCTGACTCGGGAGCGGCCGCCCCACGGAGTTGGCTCCGCTCCTGGAGCGGAGCGGTTGATGAAAATCACCGGAGCTGGAGTAAGCGTTTTATGAGAGCCATGAAGTCGGAGCGGAGCGCTTCGTAAAAACTATGGAGCTAGAGCGCAGTCGAAGCGGCTCTTTCTTTTAGCGCTCCATCAATAGCTCCATTTTCCGAACCTTTCTTAATGAAACATGATTGTAGCCCGCACATTTCTGATTAAAATGAGACATCTCCCAGCTTTGTACGACCTTTCTTCGCACAGTTATAGAATTTACAAGAAGGGCCCTAAATTAATTTCTTATTTCTGTAGCTTTGAGCTGACAATAAACATTTAAGGCTTTTCTTGTAAATTCTATAACTGTGCAAAGAAAGGTCGTACAAAGCTGGGAGATGTCTCATTTTAATCAGAAATGTGCGGGCTACAATCATGTCACATTAAGAAAGGTTCGGGTTATATTTTAGAGTTTTTGAAAAACTGGTTTTCCAGAAGACCAGGTCTTCGAAGGGCTATGTGGAAGCCCATGGTCGTATTCGTAATCAGCATGGTCGATAACCTATAACCCACCAGATTCCGAGCAAAAAGCGTTTAATCACTTCTAGGGTTCCCTCGTAAGAAAGAAAACCAATATTAATTATGAAGATTTAAATAACGGTATACTAGCATTGAAAGATCAGAGAGAGTCTGCTATTATTTTATCATCTATTAAACGTAATCAACGAAATATAATTAAACAGCTTCATCTTGAAATTCAACGACGAATTGTACGTGATTTACGTTTCGGTCGAAAAAACTCTAGATATAGTAAAAGAAGAGTTTTAATAACAGAAAGTGAATTTGAACTGATAAAATCTTATGGTGTTGGTGGTCACAAATATAAAGAAAATGATTCATTAACAAGTTTATTAAAATTGCATTTAAATCTTCGAATGGCTAAAGACGTTGAATGTGAATGTAAATATCTGAAATATCTTTTTCGACGACCACCAGCAAAAACATATGAAACAATCTCTAACGAAACATTTGATCTTCCAACTGAAATTAAATTAAATATTAAATTTAAGCGCATCGAACATATATTAACGCCAGACGGAGTAAGGCAATATTAATCATAAAGACTTCTTTATTTTCAACTACAGGTTGCTTCTTGTTTAGTATTTATTTTCTTTTTTTATCTAAAATAAATGTCTTCCATACTGAAACAAACTAACTTACTCCCCGAAGAAAGCGTCGTAGATGTGGACATCGCTACTTTTCTTTTCACTCCATCGAATCAATATTCAACTAATTACCTTTATAAATTAAGGCAACAGTAGATATATAAATCTTGCCATTTGAATTGCCATTTGACGTGACTAGTGTTGTGTAACCAAGCAACACAGATTGACTGTGGATACACAAAGAAGTTAGAAACCTCGACGAACATGCTCTAAAACAGCTTTAAATTATGAAAAATCCTGCTAGAGACTGTCTTTCCTTTGAAACAATCACTTTAGTTCAGCAGCGCTACGTTCAATGAGAACAAACACTACTCACTTAGCGCCGGCTATAAAAATAATTATCTTTGCAACTGTTCACACTTTATTAATGAAACTTTCAGAAAATATTTAGGTAGTACTGATTATTCATTGCTTACGATTTCAGCTCGATCCGTCTGACGCTAAAAAAGTCGACTTTTCAATCTCTCTCATAATGAGAAGAAGTCAGAATAGAATTACAAGAAACCCGTTGTCGGATTCATCTGAAAAGTCTGTATAGATCACCTTATTTTCATCAAATTTGGTTTAACACGGCAAAAGCACCTAATTCTCTAATGCTTCTGTATGCTCTAATAAAAAGTAAGTATTAATAATTATATAAAGGGTGGTCCAGAAGTCCTGTCTCATTCAGTATTTTCTCAATATCTCGGTCAAGGTTGATACAAGTCTCAATCTTTTCTTAAGAAGAAACCTCATTCAAGTTTTCTACACAAAACATATTGAACATTTCTTTGTATATGGGTCGGCCCAGATAAAATCAGACACTTTTATTCGTTACTTTTGAGGCACTGCTCAGTGGTCCTAAGAGTTTATTCTAAGCTCAATCGATAGAGAATTGAATTCTCTACAAAACCTGCTATTTGAATCTCTGATTGTATTTTTCTCGTTGGAGGATCATTCAAAATATTGTAGAGTGCTGTGTCACCTAACTGCGACACACTGAAAATAGAAAAATATTTGTCTTGATCGAAAAACAAATTCCATAAAAATTTCTCGATCTGTTCTGAAACATTCTGAAGTTTCTCAATCGAAGCCATTCATTAAAAAAATTGAAAAACCGGTTGAGACCCAAGTATAAGACCAGCTGGCGTAGCAGAAACATTGTATGAAGTTATAAAGAATGAGATCGATAGAGCACAAAATTCTCTATTGATCTACGGAGATAAGTTAACTATTGAACCGCAGACAATGGGCGAAAATTCTCAAAAAAGGAGACAACAAAAGCTTGTTCGGGCGAAATTCAACCTACCAAGGCTACCACATCTTCAAAAAGCTATCACATCTTGTAAAGCAAACAATTTTCAACAAACTGGTATACTTGTTCAATTTTCGCTTACTCGTCTTCATTCTTTTAGACACGTTCTTCAGATAGCTCAAAAATTGATTTTTGGAGTACAAACAGCTGTATTTTCATAATGAATCAATGTTCAAAGCCGAGACACTTTTCACTTTGTAGAGAAATGCTTAATGTACTTAATTATCGAGTTACAATTTCAGATTATTTTCTAACCTTACTGCCAAGTTCTTTGAAAAAGAGCGAAAAATTTTAATTAATCTGTATTAATCAAAGAAAAATCAGAAAAACTATCACGGTGTGACAGAAAACGGTCAAAAGTGTCACACCGTAACGGTTTTTCTGATTTTTCTTTGATTAATACAGATTAATCAGAATAGTTTCGAACTTAACAAGCTATCACATCTTGTAGAGCAAACAATTTTCTACAAACTGATATACTCGTTCAATTTTCGCCTGCTCGTCTTCAGTCTTTTAGACACGTTCTTCAGATAGCTCAAAAATTGATTTTTGGAGTACAAACAGCTGTATTTTCATAACTAATCAATATTCAGAGCCAAAACACTTTTCATTTTGTAGAGAAATGTTTATTGTAAGGCGCCACTAATTCAAAAGAATTGCAAGTTCTTATTTTTCACTTAAAACTATATCATTCGATACAAAATTTCACGGTGATTACGAATATCACCTTTTGAATTGATTTTGATCCAGTTTT